TTTTTTTTGTAGGAGACTACTATAACTTTGAAGAACTTATGATCCAAAGCTATTATGTAGGACTATTTATAGTAGTTAGAGTCGGTAAAGAAGATTTGGTTGAAGCTTTAACATTGTGCCACATAATAATTCTACAAGTTCCTAGACTCCCAAAGCCTTTTGCGTTGGCTTGGTAGAGTGCTTTGTGAGCACTCTCCTAACAAGTTTTTATATGTAGGAAATCTACTATTATTACACCTCAAGCCTTAATGGATTTTGAGGACACCACCAAGCAACACGTTAGTTTGCAAAAAATGCTTAGTATGCATATAAGTTTTTCTAATAGTTTTTGTAAAGTAAGTATATATAATAATAATGATGAATAGTGCTGGAATGAATAAAACCATGCAATAACATTTGAATGGCTATTAGTTAATAGCTATCCTTACGTAACTTACTATACAATTGATATATATATATATATATATTATTAATTATATAATTTTTGGAGATTAATAATTGTAATTATTTAATTTATGAAATATTAAAAATATGGGGTTTCACAGTTCGTTTAGCACCACTCTTTTTTTAAAGGAAGAAACAGGAGACTTATAGAAAGAAAGAAGAAAGGCATATACTACTACTATCCATATATTTGGTATCCAACTTTCTCCCATTAATTTAATGGACTTTTATTTTCATCTTTAGGAGAGAGTGGAGGCCCATCACCGATCATGATTCTCAGTCTTTGTTGCTTCTCATAAGAAGATGTAATTCAGTCGATAAAATTTTGGCAATGTATTGACCGCTTTAGTTTCCCTTTTTCAAAATTTCTACAGCTCTATGCGTCTTTATTCTATTTAGTTTCCCGTTTTCAAATTCCTACAGGGGCAATGATACCTGTTTGTTTAATTGTTACCCTTTTTATGATTTTTTGGGTTTGCTTGATTGGCTTTTAGGGCCAATTGAGTAAGCGGTTTAGTTCAAACTCCTATATAATTTACCTTCTTCTCTCCCTCCCTCCCTCTTGGATATCTCTTTCACAGTTTCACTCAGTATCTTCTTTGGCTTCACTCTCGTTAATCAAACCACATATCTTGTACGTTTTTGCCTCATTGTCAACGACAATCAAAGGTTAGCTTATGTTTTCTCATTTATAACATAATTTTTGTTTTCTTTTGTTTTGAACATGGAGGTTTTTGTGTAAAATTTGTTTTCATATATAGGACAGGTCAGACTAAATTCAGCTCTATGAGAAGTTTTCGTGGGCGCTCTTTTTTAGTCCATGCTCCATGAATTAGTAGTGTCCAATATCAATTATCATTATTAATGACATGCTTAGTGTTTAGGTAATATTTTTCTTTTTATATGAGCACTAAAATCAAATAATCTAATTTTTAATCTTAAATTTTCAGGAAATGGAAGTTGATCGTGATCTAATTGACGAAGGTTACATTGATTACATTAGAACTCAATGGCGCAAGAATAATTCAAAATACACCGTAATGGGTTCTCGTATTAGCTTTTATAATTTTGTTATTGATTATGCTAGCGGGAAACAACATTATGATGGTGAGTTGTTCTTCAAGGAAAATAAACAAGGTGGAATACCTGTGACATTTATGAATATGGATGCTAAGGCTGGAACTAAATTGAGTGGTGAAGAAATTTTTAGGTTGGACGGTAAAGTATCTAATAAAAGGATTCTTCGCCCATTTAAGTATACATTTTGCAAACAGAAATCATTCAATGATGAATGCAGTGAGGCTGAAAGGGATATGATGAAGGGTTGTTGGACCTTGTGTTATGACAAGTTTGATTACACACTAGATGAATGGGTACTCAAATTACAAAAACATGAAATTAGAGATCCTGGAAAGTTCAAATTGATTGCTGGAAGTAATTGCCTATCTGATTTTTGGCGTCGTACAATACGGTGAGCGTAATAGTATTTTTGTTGTAGTGCTATTAATTTATGGTTTAGTTAACTAATGTATTTCATGATTTGGCAGAGAATTAATAAAGGCAATTGCTCAGATTCATGATTGTGGGCTCTTCCATGGTTCGTTGGCGGGATATAATAATTATGTGTTGTTGGGGACCAAGTGAAACTATTTAACATCGGCGGTTGTTTGGAGACCCTACATGATCAACATTCAAGGAAAATCCAAGATTTCCAAGAGTTCAGGGACACTCTGAAGATGCTGCTGGCACCTAGTTTTAAACAATGGCCTGAGCGTGACAGATTTCTTGATTGTTTTGATGATGCTGCAAAATTAAACTTTTGGTGAGTTATTTATTTTTTGGCGAAATATATATGTTGTCATTTGTGTGTTTATGAGTGTTGTTTTTTTATTTTTTCAGCTATGAAGACTATGTTAAGAAATTGAAGCGCCACCCCTTTCTATTGACTCCTCGTGATAGGGTGATATATGTTACAAGTATTTATCACAATAATATATCTATTATAAACAAGACGATGAACATCATAGGGGGTGATTTTCAAGCGTTTTATGGTTGGAACAAAGACAGAGATCTGTGGGATAAGTTTTTGCGTGATATATATGAGTCTAGAGAGAGTAAATCATATGATCGTCGCCCGTCGGAGCTTTTAAGGTTCATGCGAAATACCTATGAACATTATAGGAAATATACTAAGAAGAAGAAAATCGAGGACGTGGACGCAATTCTGAGGAAACGCTGGGATGGTTTTTTTGAGCTGGTTCATCTTATTAAGTTTGGAGAGGTGAATGAGGCATCTTGTCCGTGATTATAGCTTTTAAGTACTTTCTTAGACTATACAACTTAACAAATCAATTTGTAAATTATATTATATATATATATATATATATATATTTATTTATTTATTTATTTCTATAAAAATGACAAAAACTTTTCGAACCATTTTTAAGTTTCTTATTAAATCCTCTCTCCTCGAATCCTAAATCTACGCATGAATTTCATAAAGAACATCTACATGACTGGATCAGCACTCTCTGACCTTGTGTCTGTTGACTGGATCTTGCTGCATGATTGTGGTTAGTACCACCTAGTTGTTTGTGGTGGTGATTTGTCCTTTATTTTATTACAATGGTTGCTGCCTCGAGTGATCTAAAGCTGACTTGTTTACTTATTTCTACTTCTGATGGAATCTTCATGTAAAGCACGTCAGTAGTAATATAATGTCTTTTAACCGCCCAAATATGAGCAAACCCAGTTGGTTCACTGCATATACGAAAGGGGTTGTGAAATTGTTCTTGGTGCAGTTAAATGCACATTGAGTTGTTTAATGAATATATTTAAATATTTAAAGAGTATCGCCGCGGCTCCGCTCTTTAAATATATACGAATATTTAAACGGTACCGCCGTGTGGCTATACTTTTTAAACATATTCGATTATTTAAATATTATAGCCGCGCGGCTATACTCCTTAAACATGCTCGATTATTTCAAAAGTATAGCCGCGCGGCTATACCCTTTAAATATGTACTTTAAAAAAAACCTCCCAGACGCCTAGTGCCTAGCGACTAGGTGGGCGCCTAGGACAAATTTTATTTTTTGTTCTTTTGATGATTCAATCGCCTTAAATATTTGTATATAAAAAAAAAAGTCCACAAAATCATTTAAAACAATTAATCATTATTTATCAACTAATTTATGAAATTAATTAAAATATTAAAATACTAATTAAATACTTTTTGTTTTTTATTTTTCTGCAATAGTATTTTTCTAGAGGCCCGTCTCAACAATATGACCGATAAAAAATAAATCTACTGAGCTCACCATTGGAAAACATAAATGTACCTATTATTAAGGGGACATAAATATAAATCCTTAAAATTGAGGATACAAATTTCAGTCAAGTTTATTAATTTGAGTGAAACATTTATAGGAATAAACCTTACAGAATGTTGGATTTTGTGGGTAAAGTAAAATGATCACTATGCCATATCCCGTTGCATGTTTGGCTAATAATTGTAAATGTTGATGTGAAAAGTCTAGAAGATGAATGATGTTTCTTGTCTTTGCTTTAAATTGCATCCTCTCCATCCCTATGTCTAGTTTGATTGCATACAGACCAATTTGGAATGTGAAAATGCCGCCTCTTTAACAAATTTTATTCAAATTTTCATTTTCCTACATTTGAGTTTCATTTGCCCTGCAAACCTATTCAACACCAATGTTTCGTTGGTTTGGTTTGGCCTAAGTTTCGACGAAATTAAAAGTTTAGAATTTTTATTTTTTGAGAACCAAAATTCAAAGTTTAGCATAATGTATGTGGGCTCTTATATTCTTAAAGATTTGAAGTGATTGTTATTTGGGCCCTTGTATTTTTAAACTCTCAAAAAATCTATTTAATATGGACTTGAACAATTATATATGGGAGCTGATTTTCCCACTTATTTTTGTCCACTTATACGCTCTTGTATGTTATAGTAAAAAGTATTAAAAAAAACAAAAAGGAGTATAAGTGGACAAATGATGAATGACAAAATCAACATCTTTAGCTCTCTTGATCGGACGCCTTAGGCTGTCGCCCTCGGGGCCCAGCCCCAAGGCTGGCCTTGCATTTAAGAGCTTTGTATAAGATAAAAAGAGTGGTGTTGTAAAATACTTTCACTTTTAAAAAAGAAAAAAGAAAAAGAAAAGAGGAAACGGTAAAAGCTCAATGGTTAAAGGTAAAGAACAAAAGTGTAAGTAAATAAGTCATTTACATGAATTTTTTACTGCTATAGTAAAACATTTCTATCTTCTACTGCATTACTAGTACTACTACCACTACAAGAATTTCGTCAGAAGTGAGCAGCTCCAATGACCAATCATTGACTTGTAGAAACTAACCACCAAACCCAAACGACATCGTTTCACCCATCCGAAGGATTAAGATACATCCAGCCGTCCGTTAGAGAGCTTCACTGGACCCCACAAACCAATCAAGTGCGCCACGTGGAAAAGCATAACTCCATTCAACGACGTAGAGGAAACTCAGAAAAAGGCAAAGCAGCTTCGCTTCTCCTTCTTCCAACACAAACCAACACGCCTAAGAAATCCCCAATCAACCCAATCGGCAAAGCCACGGCCAGTACACGGTCCTCTTCCTTCTCCTCCTTCGAAACCCTAATTTTCCCAATCCGATCCTTCTTCCTCAAAATCTAGCGTCAATTTCAAGGTACGCATATATACCCAATTACCCATACATCTATCTATACATCGTTGTTTCCAATAAATGTTGTGACGTTTCTTTGTGGTGAAAATTTTCGATCTTGATTTGGCGGGGGCGGGGGAAACAGATTTTGGAATTAGGGTTTTGATCGATTTCATCGCGTTGACGTTTTTTATTATGCAGAAGATCGAGAGGATTCGATAATTGCAGAGAATCAACCATGTTTACCAGGCTTTTTGGGAAACCTAAACAGGAAGGCAATGCCCTGACCACCTTAGACAAATTAAATGAGGTAAAATGACCGATTTATTCATCGATTTTTATTCATTCGTATTGATAATTTTTCTCAAAGTATTTAAATTTGTGTGATTCGTTCGTAGCTTTGTTAGTTTGATTTGGGTTTGGAAGTCTGTAAGTATTACAGTGTGTGACTGTGTGTGCCGGCATGTGGATGATTCTTTATGGGTTTGTGAATGTTTAGAATGAGAGGCTGATGGGACATGAGGAACTCTTCAGATTGCTTTCTTTATGTTTTCTTTGAGTTGGTTAATGCAATTAGATTGCTTTCTGAAGCTGTTTTTCCACATATGAAATGAAGTACTGATTTTCAAGTTGATATCTTGGCATGTATTGCAACAAAGGCCATTAATCTCGGTAGTGATGATGATAACACCTATTAAGTTGACAGAAATGTTAATTATCTGGATGAACTTTGTTTCTGGTTGTGTTTACACCTATTTTTGTTCCTCTTCAGCAGTTGATTATTTCCTCAATTAATCTTTCTCTGTGTTGTACAGACACTTGAAATGCTAGAGAAAAAGGAAAAAGTACTACAGAAAAAGGCTGCTGCAGAAGTTGAAAGGGCCAAGGAATTCACCAGAGCAAAGAACAAAAGGGGTATGGTTGCAAATTGTTTTCATTCTTATGGAGAATTCAGATGGTGATAATCTAATTCTTGAGTAATTTTTAAGGAATTTATTAACTGTTTGCTTTGAGAGAGGGCTTATGTTCTCATCCGTTTATCCAGTAGTTTACATTTTGCACCTTGATTATGTATACATGAGTTTGCCTTGTATTATTGCCATCTAATGCTTATCAAGCTTTTTTTCTACAGTAACTTAATCTAAGTAAGGAACTTAACCCTGAGGGTTTCTTTATTCCTCACCACTGCTTTCAGCACCAATTGAATTGGTTAGGACTGGAGACTCGCTATTAAGTCTGTATACCAATACATTTTATACTCCTTAAAGTTGTTCAAATATATGAATGATGATTGTCAAACCTGTCTAGATTTTGTCTATAAGTTGGAAATCATCAAGAGTTTATAGAACCTTATATGATTTGAATGATGTGTTGTCTATGACTTTTGAAATTCTAGTTCTGTGGTTGAGTTGTAACTTATGCTGCTTTTTTTGCAGCGGCTATACAATGTTTGAAGAGGAAGAGGTTATATGAACAACAAATAGAACAGCTTGGAAATTTCCAGTTGCGTATCCATGATCAGGTGACGCTGGAATTGGAACTATATTTCTTGATCCTTTAAATAGTGTTTCAAATATTGTCAATAATTTTATCTTTTTTTTGGATTTTTGGATTTTGATGAATGGGATTTTGCTGTATTGATGTTGCAGATGATAATGCTAGAAGGTGCAAAAGCCACAACTGAAACTGTAGATGCCTTGAGAACTGGAGCAGCTGCAATGAAGGCAATGCAGAAAGCAACGTATGTAGCATTATATTGTTGTATTAAGCATATTTGCACTTTCACGAGAACTTTTTTTTAATAATATGCTTTAGTTTTTATGTTTCATCTTCATTTCTTGGATGTCACATGACATCTGAATAATTCAATCATGGGTGTTCCTGACATAATTGAAATGGGTGTCCTTTTATACAGGAACATAGATGATGTGGACAAGACCATGGATGAGATTAATGAGCAGACAGAGAACATGAAACAGATACAGGAAGCTTTGTCAGCTCCAATTGGTGCAGCTGCTGATTTTGATGAGGTTTGTATTGTCTTTTCCTTTCTTTATCCCAATCCATGATTGGTTTTCTAAATGCTATGTTTTCAACTAGTATACGGCTGCTTAGTGGTTTGGACATTTTTAATCTGCAGGATGAACTTGAAGCAGAACTTGAAGAGCTGGAAGGCGCTGAGTTGGAAGAACAACTTCTTCAGCCAGCAACAACAGCTCCTGCTGCTCCAGTGCAAGCCCCAGCAGGAAGGCAACCAACCCGTCCTATTCCCCAGAAGCGTACTGCTGAAGAAGATGAATTGGCTGCTTTGCAGGCTGAGATGGCACTTTGAGCAGGTCCGTTGGTCAGTTTCAGTATGATTATTGTAATAGCATTAAAGACATAAAATTGCAGTTTGTTGTTTCACAAATTGTGCCTTCTTTTATTTTTAGTAGAATGAAGTACATTAAATGGAATTCTTTCTGAGGGTTTTGGTGAAATGAACTTACATGCAGTTCCATTGTTTTGTATTTGAGTTAAGAGTTGATTTTATTTGTTATATTGTTGCAGGTATTATTCTGCAGGATGAAAGGAGGTTATGTAAAGGATTGGTCTGATTTTATAATGGAGATTTGTGCTCCGATCACGCATCCAGATTTCTGTGTGGCTTCATTATTAAACAGAATGTATATAAAGGTGGCGTAAATCAAACAGTCCCCTTTGAAACTTGTATTCTGCTTTTTTTCAGAGTTTTCTCTTTCTTTTCTTTTTCTTTTTCATTTTAACTTATCTTTGAACATTTATTCAATGTTCTGTCAGGCCTTAATCAATAGCTTGTTCTATTATGTGATATTACCAAGTGAATAATATAAAATGATCTTGGAGCCTATACTATGAAGCTCTTCTGTCTTCATGGTATCTCCTCCACTCCATTGGACTTGGTCAGTCTTTTGCTTAATCTATCGGCTGTTGACCCAAGGCAATGACAGGAAGGAAATGATGCGTAAATTTCACCGTCTCTACCTAGTCTTTTTAATCATTGATAAAGAGGGATTCGAACATGGGAGAAATTTGAGTCTTCAAACATGAACCTTGTCACTTATTATATGTTTTAAAACACGTGAATTCGTAATACCACGTAATTGTGTAATGGTTACACCTTCGGGTTCTTTTTCAATCATGAAAAGAGTCATTAGACTAAGAACTAGTCTCTTCATGTTGGCCATCAATGAAAATGCTGCTGCTCAAATACATCATCATCGTTGAACATTGTCTCTGTTGTTGTTTCATGGTTACTATTAACTTGCTACCCTTGGTAACCCAACAAAACTTCTAGTGCTAAAACAAATATTAATAGATGGGGCTTGTAGCATTATTGGTTTTTCACTCACGCCAAGGGTAGAGTTCAAATGCTCTCCTCATTTACCTTCCTTTGTACTTAAAAAACAATATTAAACTTATCCACCATTCAATCTGAATTATTTTATTATTTTCTAAGATCCAACAAAGAAAAAAGGTAGAGTTGTATATGATTCTTGAGGATAAGATATTTTGTAGTTTTCCAAACCCTAGGGAAGGTGGGTCGACGTAGTTTTTTTTGTTCTCTTTATTCAATTTCCCCTAGTCTTTGTTTTGAAAATGGATGGATTAGGCCTCTATATCTAACGCAACAAAACAAAAAGGGGATGCATAGATGTAAACCGTTGAAGCCGAGAGAAATACAAGTGCAAATGCTTCTCCGCACCCCAACCAGTGGCCCTGGCACTGGCACTGGCATTGGCATGCTTCTTAAAACAAGGTTGCACATGTAAAAAACTTTGGTCCACAACCAGACAACAGTCTCTCTATAAAGTGAAGTTGTCTGGTTAGGTGGGGTCTTGATTTCACAACTTTTTTCTGTATTGACAAAATAAAGAAAGAGGATGCCCATTGCCCATGTCGTTCCTCTTTGGTGCCATAAACAATATTAATATAGAAAAGTAAAAGTAGGTATTAGATTTTGGTTTACAACTGTTTTGAGGTTCTAATTGCCCTCCAATGCACTTCAATAATTTTAACATTTACTAGAAAGAGTGTGTGTGTGTGAGAGAGAGAGAGAGAGAGAGAGAGAGAGAGAGAGAGAGAGAGAGAGAGAGAGAGAGAGAGAGAGAGAGAGAGAGAGAGAGAGAGAGAGAGAGAGAGAGAGAGAGAGAGAGAGAGAGAGAGAGAGAGAGAGAGAGAGAGAGAGAGAGAGAGAGAGAGAGAGAGAGAGAGAGAGAGAGAGAGAGAGAGAGAGAGAGAGAGAGAGAGAGAGAGAGAGAGAGAGAGAGAGAGAGAGAGAGAGAGAGAGAGAGAGAGAGAGAGAGAGAGAGAGAGAGAGAGAGAGAGAGAGAGAGAGAGAGAGAGAGAGAGAGAGAGAGAGAGAGAGAGAGAGAGAGAGAGAGAGAGAGAGAGAGAGAGAGAGAGAGAGAGAGAGAGAGAGAGAGAGAGAGAGAGAGAGAGAGAGAGAGAGAGAGAGAGAGAGAGAGAGAGAGAGAGAGAGAGAGTGTGTGTGTGTGAGAGAGAGAGAGAGAGAGAGAGAGAGAGAGAGAGAGAGAGAAAATAACATTATGTGAACAGAGAGAGGATATGGAAATGAATGAATCTTGAAATTGAAAAAAGAATAGGGGATTTGATAAAGATGGTAATAACAAATTAGCAACAAGAGCAACATAGGCTAGCAAGCAAAGCCTAACATGATAATGATGCAACAATTTCACTTCACAATTTTTCTTGAATTTTTCTCTTCTCTATATTTCATCTTTCTCCAAAAATGGGGTCTCTAATGGATGATGTAGGTGAGGAGCAGAGCCAATACCATCAGCACATAAGCAATTCCTTGGTCCACTGCTACCCCTGCATACCCAAACACAATCATCAACACTCAATACGCACAATCTGAACTCAAATCAAAACAACATGATTTCTAGAGAGAGAGAGAGAGAGAGAGAGAGAAACATACCATCACTTGTAGGGGCAGGGGTAGGTGCAAGGGTTTGAGCATTGATGGAGGGGAGAAGCAGAGAGATAACAAGGGCACAAATTGCCATCGCAAAAAATTGAACTTTCAACATCTCCATTTTCTACAAGCTGTAAAAAATTTCCCACTTCCCAAACACAGCTTTCTCTCTCTCTCTCTCTGTGCCCCCCACTATGGTATGCCCTAATGGGTCTCTTCTCCAACTCCAATACAAAGTTTTCAGCCAAATGAGGGTGGCTTTGTAACTCTTCAGTCCCAGATTTATATAGAAAGAGAGCAAAAGCCTAAAACGACAGTGGGACGAGGAGAATCTTTTACACACAAAAAATATATTTTAATTTTATAAAAACGGCCACTCTGGCTTATAATTGCTGCTAACTAACCATGATTTCATTTCGACGGCTCTTAGCCTCCTACCCCAAATTCTATGCTCTTGATGGTGCCACGCGTACGGTGGAGATCAGTTGCACGTTAAAACTCCAGGCATTGTCGAGCTGTGTAACTGTGGGACCTCCCTCCCCACATGCATTCATATCATCAATCCACTCATATTCTCTTTCTATTCTTTTTGAATTTTCTGGCTAAATTTCAAAAGTCTATTAGATGATTGAGCCGTTGGTTTGTTCTTTAGTCTTTTCTGAACGCATCACACTTCAAGGTAACTTTACACACATCCAACTTGGCAATTCAAGGCAAGGCAAGGCAGTGCTTTGGAATATAAACCAACAAATTTGAACCTTCCTTCCTCTCGTTAATTTTATCTTTGACAATGAAAAGGTTCGAATGTTGTTCTATTAATTATCGTAAACATGATGAAAATCAGGTGACTTAAATTTAAAGTATTTGATCCACCTGTTCCTGTGCAGGACTTATTCGACAATTATTCATTCAAATCAACTTACTAATCACGTCACAGTATTTTGATGATGAAATGTGTTTGATGCAAATTAATGGGTCAGCCCGAGCTTCCAGACTAAGCTGGTCTGGTTAAGGAAGAGTCAGGCTGAAGCCCAATAATCTGTTTTAGCAAACACAAAATTGGTTCATCCCATTAATCAAGGAGACCAGGAAATCTCGACCTAAAGACATAAAGCCTGGTTTAAGTAAACAAACATGTTAGATTGAACCCCTGCATCATGTCATTAAGTATCATTTCAACCTGTGTTCTTAGTACCATTATGATTCATAAAGCTAAAGGAAACAGCATTTCCTTGTTCGATACAAGCCATAGTGGTGATTGCCAATTGAAATCTAAGGAATTACAAGCCATACTGTATTTACCATGCGGTGCCTTTCAGGATCTAATCAATAACTGAGCTCAGTGGAGCTGGTGTCATCTCTATATAGTCAAAGTCCTCTGTTATTCCAATCTGCATTTGAAATTAGAAAGACAATTATCAAAGGAAAGAGAGAAACTGGGAAGCTAGATGGCCAGATTCAAATTGAGCACGCTCTTTCAGCTGACATGACAAACGACAACCTCAGCATGGCAAGCTCATGAGTTCAAAATAATAAAAACCTGGGCTTGCTCTCTATTAATTATAATTTACCTCGTTGTACAAGTTCTCAAGCTGCTCTTTGGCCTGCGGAAAGTTATTTGAACACCACTGGCGCACTGTGAAAATGTTGTCTGCAGTAATCAAACCACAGTTATTAAGAGTTCCCATTTTCTTGATTTAGAAACACACCCCACCCTCCAAACAAGAAACAAATGGATTAAGATAAAACCTGTCCATCGATTAGCTGCTGTATGGGCAACTTCAATTGCTTTCTCTGCCAACAAAATTATAATATGGTCAGTTAACTTATTTGAGTTCGAAGGTGTTAAAGGGGCATCATTCTACTATGATTGAAACATCAATTAACTCATTGCTTCAAAGGCAGCTGGATCATTGTCTGCATACTGCGCCATCTCATCCTGAAAATGGCAATGGACTGCAGTTAGCAACTCGATCAAATAATTTATTTAAGTTGTTTCAAACTCTAATGCATCACAAATGTGCAGGATATATAGACTCCAACCTTCAGCTCATTATACTTTAGCTCTATGGCTTTTAGATCAGTTAAGGCCTCATCTCGTTCATCCTGGTAAAAACATGAGATTCAGATGCAAAAATAACATTCTTACAAAGTAGAAAACAGTTCAAGCCTTTGAAAGAGATAAAAGTTTGAAACACTCACAGAATCCTCACGTCCCTTCTTCAGGGCATTACACTGTTCAACAAGTTCTGCATGACGCTTCTTACTGCTTTGGAGATCAGATTCAAGTCTGCTATTCACATTCCTAAGCTGCCAAAGACCAAAACAATGTCAGCACGAATCTACTTGTAGGAATTTCAGCACAAATCCTACCCTGTAGAACTGAGCTTATAATGTAAACCATCAAAGGTTCACCTGGTTTCCAGCAGTGCTAGGAAGACTCCAAAAATACACCTGAAATTTTAAAATAACATACATTACAAAATGCCAATAAAAACAAGCATTTTGGACCACATCTTTCACAGACTGATCATCATCCACTACGCAAAGCTGTATGTGGAAACATCTACTTACAGAGGTTCCTATCTTGTCTTTGAAAACAAGGTCATCATCCACTAAACTTTGGATCACATCTTTCACAGACTGAGAAATAACACCTTTCTTTGGGCCTGACTTCTCAAGCTCCTTTAGCTGAAATCACCAATAAACATATGAACAGAGCTGTAGAAGTACAATATAAGCTGAAACCATTGACATTGTTCACAATGACAAAGAGATTTTAACCACATTTGAAATTACAGAACTCAATTGAAATCAATTATAATAGGGTTCGCAAAATAAAATTAGAAAAAATTGAATGAATTCATTAACATTATAGCATCAGGGCGTGATAATACTCACCAGGAAGAAATCTTGAGAGTCGTAAAAGATTTGAAGCATCTTCTCACGCTTCTCATCCAACGAAAGACCTCTCTTCTTCGACTGTACACAAATCAAAACATCGCCAACAAAAAACAAAAAGAAAAAAAATTGAGAGAAGAAAAATAGCAAGAAATTCAAAATACTGACACACTTCGTTTCTATACGACACAAATAATTAATTGGAGCAATTAATTTGAATTTAAGATTAAAAACTATATAGAATCTTGTTCATTCGCGCATTTTCTCAGTAACCAAACGGAGCAATAAGGTAGGATTTGAAACTTAAGAGATCTGATACTATAGTTAACGAGTGAGCTAGAAATACAAAATGAAATTAAAGAAAAATTAGGGTTCAGAGAGAGAGCGATTTACCATTGAAGCGAGCTGAGAAGACGAATTGCTGAGGAAGCTACTGCAATGAAGCGTCTAGATTGGCGGGAATTCTTTATATCCACTGCAGCACTCAGCAGCTTATGCTCAAATTACTATTCAAATTACTATCATGTCCTTTTATACTTCACATTTGCGTTTCGTCAAACGACGTGTCGTTCGAATGTGAAGAACAACTTTCTCATACGGAAGAAAAAGGGATTTTTTTTTTTTCTCCAGTATGGAATGGAAAAATGATCCTCCTCAAAATCAAAACCTCAAATCATGACTGTTGGATCGTTGTAATTATGAATGAGTCATGAAATGAAAATTCTGAAACGGAATGATCATGTAAGTTTTCATTCTCGTATTAACGTATCACGTGTTACTCATGTGATGAGATGATTGTGAGAAGAATGTGTAAACACACTCTATTTCACTAAAGAGTTTCTTAACATAAAACAACTTGTCATTTTTGCAAATAATGACCTAAAACCATTGGATTCTTATCAAATGGCCAAGATCGATCTCGGATATGGCCCTCTCCATTTTTTATCATCCCATTACACACAAATTAAATCATACAAAAAAAAAAAAAAAAAAGTCTGGTACAAAGCCACAAAGAGACACAGATAGAGCTGCCAGCAGCAGCAATCTATGACCCAAATATTTTATGCATGCTGATATACTAATGCCTACTAGTTCAATATATATATATATATATATAGGTAGGGGGCTTTTAATGCGAACTCTAAGATGCGAACTCGTTGCGAACTTTTGTTTTTAACCGTTGGATGGCTTGTGTGGCTTTATTTTCTTTCTTTTCGCTCTTCTTCCAACGGTTAAAAACAAAAGTTCGCAACCAATCCGCATCTTAGAGTTCGCATTGGAGAAGGCCCCTATATAGGTATATATATATAGAGCAAGCACAAGTCTAATTATTTAACCTTTTATTTTTCCTGATACCTACTAAATATTTTGAGTTTATCATAAATTTTTCTTTTGGGCTATCAGAAACAAGTTGGGTTACTATTATAAGCAAGTTGAGGAATATTATTAAGGTTTTAGGGTCTACCTTTGTTATGCCTTTTTAGACTTTGGACTTATGGTTGCGTTTCTCAGTATCTTTCTGCTCTGCTTGTCGGCACGAAGAGTTTGGCTTTCATGCTAATTAAATTAATCATTGATTGCTAGTACAGTTCAAGTTTTAAAAAAAGGAACAATAAAACATATGAATAATGCACCTACCAATTTTCAAAACTATCAGGTGGGTGGGTGGGAATAAATTTTTCTATTTAAAATGTGGTGTGGTGACACAAATCTCTGTCATCCTCATCCCACATGTTTAAAACTTGGTGGATTTAATGAAAATGGAAGAAGAAGATTTGGTCTGACTAATTTGGCCGAGGCTCTTGAGCACACTGAATGTGAAATCAATATACATGCATTGACCAGCAAAGATGCTGACCTGAGTAACATGTTCTCTCATTTTAGAAAGAATAAAAATAAGGAAAATAAGGACATGTAGCAGGTTTTGCAGCATTAGGTTCCAATCCACACTGTCCTTTTTTTTTTTTCTTTGCTTTTCTGGTACAAAAACTGTCATTCATTTTTAGTATCAGATTCATAGGATCCAAGAGAGAGAGAGAGAGAGAGAGATGAAAATGTCAACTGGGTTCTTCCTCCTGTTGCTCTGTGCAAGTTTAGTTCATGCGCAGCGCCGGATAGGTTAGCTTTTTCTTTAAAAGCAAATGATATTTGTGCCTGTCTGGTTCATTTTACATATCTACTTATAACTTCTTGTTTTAGCTCTAAATATAGTTTCTTGTAAAAGGCTGTATCTTTAAGTACTAGTTGCTTGTGTTCTTGGCCTCTTGCTACCTTTCTTGGTAGGAGAAGAACTTTTCCTACTAATAAATTGGGCTGTTTTGTTCTTTTGTGTTAACAATCAGAAACAGCTCATTCATTCTGATTTATCTTCACTTATCTGTTTTCATTTAGACTTCATAAGCATTGACTGTGGCTCTCCCTCGAAGCCCTACGAAGACACAGACACCAACATAACATATTCACCAGATGGAGATTACATAGATACAGGGATAAACCAGAACATCTCCTCTGAGTATATGTATCC